TATGGGTCAGTGCTCGGTCAGGCTGGGTGGGGTAAGTTATTGGTCAGTGGGTGGTGAGGTGTTGTATTCTCTTCCCTTGTTATTTCCTTTATCATTATTATTGGTGGTAGCAGTAGTGATTTGTGTTATACCTTAGTTACTAAACTGTTCTTATCTCAACCTGTGGGAGTTGCGTTCTTTCGATTCTCCTCCCCATCCCTCCGGGAGCGGGGGGAGGGCAAGAAGGGGGGGAATGAGTGAACGAGCTGTGTGGCTGGGTTTAAACCACGACAGTTTCACTCTTGGATTTATAGGAAACAGTCAAAAACTGTGGCTGTTGCTTACTTGTATTTTCTCATTTGTTAGGTAAACTGCTTGGAATTCATGTAGAAAAGATCACACTTTGCTCATAAAGAACTTTTTCTGCTAAGTCTGGAGCTTGCACTAAATAGTAGTTCCAGAATTTTACTTTAAGTACTGTTTTACCAAGAGATGTGTGCAAACAGCAGAAAGCAAAGAATAGGTAATATCCAAATATATTTAATAATCTTTTTTATAAACTAGTTTTTCTGTGATCTGGCAGTTTTGCATTTCCTCTGAGGTGTTGACTTTCATTTTTAAAAACTTTGCAAGAACTTGCTCTTCAAAATTTCACATTAGAATATGGGTAAAACCAGAATTTGCTTTTTTTTTTTTTTTTTAATGCAGCTTATGTATAGGAAAAATGTTAGCTTAAGTAGCTGCTTCAGATTAGCTCAACAAAACAAAAATGTTGAATACTTGCAGTTCAACTAATGAATAAGCTATCAAAGATACTGTGATTATTCTGTTCTTGCATGTTTCTCTAGGAGATCTGATGAGAGTATTATTTTTCTTAATATTAGATATTGCTTTCAAGATACAAGAGGCTTCAAGATGTAAGGAATATTTTAAAAATGCTGTTCTTAAACATCTTCAGTATATGGTAGCATTTAAAATATTCTGTGACTTATTGTACAAACAAGAGGAGCATCTGTTCCTAAAACATTAACGCACATTATGCTATCCTTTTAAAGTTTCAGAGTAGTTACTGTCCTATTTTCAATATGGAAGAAAAAAAAATCAAGTCCTCATTTCAGGGTATAAAAATATTCCATTGAGCATTACTATGTTGCTTTAAAGGCAGATATTTTTTAAAATGTCTATGCCAAAGCTGAGACTTTGAAGCTATGAAGAAACAAACACAGTCCTTAGTCTCTCCCATGTATGTTAAATGCTTTTGAACACAGCTCCATAAAAGCTGGTTTTAAGTGATACAAATAAAATGGCAAGATCCACTGACTTGGAACTGGTTCAATGAACTTTGCACTTGATACACTGACATGTAATGTTGGAGCCAATTTAGGAAAGTTTTGTGTCATATCTGCCTTCTCTGCGTTCTTTTCACTGCATTTTAAGACTAAAAATACAGAATTAGGAATGTAAACATATTTGTTTTTTGTTGTTGCTTTTTTTTTTTTAGAAGATAAGGGAAAACTGGTCTACATGGTGTGTTAAAGGATGAATAATATTTTTCCAAAGAAAATGTAGTCACACACTGTCTCTTGAATTTCACGTCTTGAAGGGTCATTTTACAATAGTACTATTAAATAGTGCTCAGAATTTGCTTTCCAAATGTGAATCCAAGCAGCTATTTGAATGGGGCCAGGACTTATCCATCCACAGGATTTTCCAGTTCACTGTGAGATCAAATCTCTAATGTTATATGATCATTTGCAGCACTTTGCTTTTCCTGCCAAGTTCCCTATGACCAGATAAAGACAGTGAGAAATTAGAAATATGCTCCTTTTCTGACACGAAACACCTTTTCTAAGAGCTTTAAAAGCTTTTTAAGGCCACATGTTTCAATTTTCTCAATTTCATTTGGATTTTTTTTTTTCTGATTGTTTTAAATTACAGATGATTGCTTAGTCCTCATTTTCTACTTATGTTGAATAAATTCCCTGGCCTTCCATGAGTCATAAAGTGTTATCTCCTCTTCATCTCATGGATTTAACCACATATTAAAACTCAGGCCGTATTTTTAACAAATATGTAATCTTGCTGATGTTGAAACTTTTATGCACACAGACAAATATGCTTTGGTGTTGTGTGCCTATGTATGTTTTCTTGCCCTATGTGTTGTCTGTTAAACAACTGAAGAAACCATGAGTGCAGGATATATTTTCACAGTATCTTGGATAGTGTGACAGTCCCCTAACCTTAGGGGCTTAGAAGTTAATTGCAGCTGTGTCTCTGTTAACCAAATCCTTTGTGCTATATGGACAATTATGATGATTGTCAGTTAATGAAGTTAGTGTGCTGTAGTCTTGGTCACTACTCTTGTGAGCTGTGTATGGTTTGTAGGGACAAAGGAGTTGGGCTAACTGACAGAAGTTTATTTAAAAAGATGTCTGTCCTGGTTTAAGCCCAGTTTCTAGCTTGTAGCCATGCAGCTGCTTGCTTGCTACCCCCTTTCTTCCCCCCCCCACTCCTGGAGGGATGGAGGGGAAAGGTGAAAGAATGTAAATCTGATGGGGTGAGATAAGAACAGTCCAATAACTAAATTGTAATACAAAACTACTACTAGTACTGCTAATAATAACAATTAGGGAAATAACAAGGGGAGGCAATATAAAATTAAAAGGGAAGGGAAAAAAAACACCCCAAAACAATAAACGCAAGTGATACACAATGAAGTTGCTCACCATCTACTGACTGATACCCAGACCCACCCGAGCACAGATCTGGCCCTTCTGGGTAACTCCCCCCAGTTTATCTACTGGGCATGAAGTGCTGTAGTATGGAATACCCCTTTGGCTAGTTTGGGTCAGGTTTCCTGTCTCTGCTTCCTCCCAATTCTTGTACCTTTCCTCACTGGCAGAGCATGAGATTGAAATGTCCTTGATTGGGTAAGCATTACTTAGCAACAGCTAAAACACTGGTGTGCTATCAGCATTGTTCTTTGACTAAAGTTGAAAACACAGCACTGCACCAGCTACTAAGAAGGAGAGAATTAAGTTACAGCTGAACCCAGGCCTTAATGAAGTCAGTGCTCTGTAGTCTTGGTCAGTTAATCACTGTCCCTGTGAGCTATGTATGGTTTGAACAGGCAAAGGATTTGGACTAATTCTCAGAAGTTTAAGAAGGTTATTTGTAATTTTTACACATCAGCCAAAATAGTTCTTGATTTTCTAGAGATGTGGTTTATTTTTGTAGGCTATGAGCTGGGTTGTTATTTTTTTTTGTTATTTTTTAAGGCTAAGTTGGGGGGGGGGGGGGGGGCACAAACCCCCCACCCCACCCCCACCCCAATCTTGACATGTTTGATTCCAAGAAAAACATGTGAAAATACTTTCAAGGTTTCCTAATTTGTCAGAAGAACTTGTCAGCCTCAGCATCTTGAGACTGATTCTGGTCCTGCATAGCAGTAAGAATACCAAATGCAGTGATAAGACAAGGGGTAACAGTTTAGAACTTGAACAGGGGAAGTTTAGATTGGATATAGGGAGGAAGCTCTTTACTGTGAGGGTGGTGAGTCACTGGAATGGGTTGCCCAAGGAAGTTGTGAATGTTCCATCCCTGGTGGTGTTCAGGGCTGGGTTGGACAAAGCCTTGGGTGGCATGGTTTATTGTGAGGTGTCCCTGCCCATGGCAGGGGAGTTGGATCTTTATGATCTTAAGGTCCTTTCCAACCCTAACTGTTCTATGATTTGATGATTTGTGACTTTATATAAATATAGTAAAATTCTAAAGGAATTTATTGAAAAATACACCATGTTAATTGAATGACTTCTTCACATTTTTACCCTTCTGAATGCGTGTGGAAGAACAATGAAACATGATAAAGCTCTAGTATGGGAAGGATGAGTGTCTAATAAGTCAGAAAGCTTTGTTTTACTCCACAAATTTAAGCAAACATAGAAATCAAATCCAAATGATCTGTGTCAGTGAGCTTTGAAATAGGACTGGAATGTTCTATCTAGTTCCATCCAGCTCCTGTTAGCATTGTCAAGACTTGTACTGGAAATTTTTTAAATCTGGAATGAGAGTCTCATCCCAGGTCCTGTGTTGCAACCCCTGCTTCAGTAGGGATTGGTCATCCTTATGAGCTCAGTTCTGCTTTCTCAGTAGTCTGGAAGGCACCAACTTTTCTCATTGCCTTCAAGGATTAATTTCAAGTGAGGGCTTAGTATTCCTCTTAAAAAGAATAGGCCAAACTGAAAGGCTGGGGGACAGAAATAAAGAACGTTCTTGTATATAAATGTGTGTGTATGAACAAGATAATTTGGGAATAGTTCTGCTGCTAATAACCATGTGCTTGAAAGAAGATGCACTTGGTTGATGATTTTGTAGATAATATAATTTTGTAGATAATATAAACTATTGACTAGTAAATTTGAAGAAAGACCAAAGTTTTGATTGGGATCTCTGCCAAGTTTGAATGATTGCTTGAAATACTGTTTTTAAGTGATTAAATAAGTTATGCTCACTGTTGCTTATCATTTAAATTTTTAAATTTATCACCTTGCTTAGACTTATTTTAATCCGATGCTTCTGGGGGAAAATGTAGTTCAAAGATGCTAGATTCTTGAAGTTAGCTGTACTTTATGGAGTAGCAGTAATCTTCATTTTTAGGGGATGACTAACTTGATGAATGAAAACACTGTGAGTATAGTGTGTTCTTTCAGCTGTTGGTATCTAGTATGAGACACTTTAAAAGGAATCTGAGAGCGAGTTAGACATCTGTACTAATTGCACCAGTTCCCCATATAGACTAGAACATTAATGGCAATAACTTTGGTCACCATTGAGACCATTTGAGAGTAACTTTTTATCTGTAGCAAACCTTGTGTGCCTGTAAGTTATGCTAAATTTTCAGGATGCTTACAGAGACTATGAAGAAAACTGGAAGAGCTCATGATAGCTTAAGAAATGCTGACTGTAACTTAAACCTATTTCATTCTGTGCCACATTAGAATTTGCGCAATCTCTCTTTTTAGAGGATTACCCCAATGGGACATGGCTTGGAGATGAAAATAACCCTGAGATGCGGGTCCGTTGCCTCATCACGCCGGCTGACATGCTGCACATCAGCACGAACTGCCGCACAGCTGAGAAGATGGCACTGACATTGCTTGATTATCTCTTCCATCGGGAAATTCAGGCCATTTCCAACCTTTCAGGCCAGGGGAAGCATGGGAAGAAGCAACTTGATCCTCTCATGATTTATGGAATTCGCTGTGAGTATGATACTGAAACTTTTGAATTTATCCTGTGTTGATGAGGCAGAAGTTATCTGCTACTTGCAGTTAAACTAGGTTTTGTAAGAAAGGGGTATGTACTGTTGTTACCAGACAGATGCTTTGTTAGCTTTTGTTTATGAAGGATTCCTAATGGGCTGGTTTAATCTGGTTTGTTGTGTGTATTCAGCAGAAATTCTTCAGTTTTGAAATCTGAATTTGGATTTCTTTGCATCTACCAGCTGTGAGCACACCAAGTGTAGTAAAAATCAGATAAATATTACTTTCTCAGATAATGGAACAAATAATGAAACAAATTATACAAATTTAAATATTGTTCAAGTGTCCAAAGCAGTGTAGTCTTGACTTTTAGGTTTTTTCTTCACATTTTTTGTGTATTATTTCAGAAGACTTGCTTACACTGAGATAGAAGAAATTTGCAATTCATACTAAAGGAGAGATTAAGCTTCATAAAGTCTGTGGATTCATAAGAAATGCATAATTAATATACTTCAGTCTGCTCCAGTGTGCATGGGTCTTTTGCTTATTAAAGCTATTACGTAGTAATAAGCAGATATTACTTATATTGAAGATGCATTTTTGTCAATTTAAAAGGAATGAAATATGTTTTGCATATGTGTCCCGGGTTCAGCAGTAGTGGTCATTTTTCTCCTTCTTAGTAGCTGGTGCAGTGCTGTGGTTTTGGCTTTCAGCCTGGGAACAGCACTGGTAACACCAGTGTTTTTAGTTGTTGCTCAGTGATGTTTACTCTGACTGAGGACTCTGTCAGTCTCATGCTCTGCCAGGGAGGAGGGGAAATCAGGAGGAAGCAGAGACAGGACACCTGACCCAAACTAACCAAAGAGGTATTCCATACCACAGCACATCATGCCCACTATATAAACTGGGGGCAGTTACCCGAAAGGGCTAGATCACTGTTTGGGTCGGGCTGGGTATCAGTTGGAGGGTGGTGAGCAGTTGTATTCTCTTCCCTCGTTATTATCCTTATCATTATTATTATTGGTGGTAGCAGTAGTGGTTTCGTGTTATACTTTAGTTACTGGACTGTTTTTATATTTTCAACCCGTGGGAGTTACATTCTTTCGATTCTCTTCCCCATCCCTCTGGGAGTGGGGGGAGGAAGGAGGGGGGTGTAAGCGAACAGCTGTGTGGTACTAAATTACCAGCTGGGCTTAAACCATGGCAATATGGAATATAGGGGGCATAATACTAGTTTTAAGTAAAAAGAAGAATCTGGACCATATGCATGTTGTTCATACAGAGCAAGGACATATAGACTATAATAGCCACTAGTTTTGAGTGAACAAGAATGTGGACATAGGGATCTTGCCCTGATAGGGTGACTGGTAGAGGATTACTCTGTGAATACACTGAGGGCAGCCAAGTGTGTTTCATGTACTATGGTGTAAATATTTTTGGGTAAAGGAGGTAGGTGACAGCATCTGGCACAAGTGTTACAGCTCTCATGTGGATATCTTTGCTATACATGTAAAGAGGAAACATATTCAAATGTTAGTGTGGAACTGAGAGAGTCTGAAAATGACCAACTTTACTAACTGAACTAATTTTTAATATGCCAGTAGATCTCGCTGTTAAAAGATACTTTATAGTCACATCTTACGTAGGTCACCAGTGGATTAGTAGATTGGCAATGATTTGTTATACTGGAGTGTTTTGTATGCAATTGTCTATTTGAAATGCCAGTTAAGGCTTGAGAACACAGCTAGAGAGAGCTTACTTTGAATGGTGTTTGAAGAATTTGATGATTTGTTTTTATGCTTGTTAGGACACTGTGTTTCAGTAGTCACATGGAAGAAAATAGAGAATATTTGACTGCTATGCTTTCTTTACACTGAATTGAACTGAGGAAATACAGTCCTATTAACCCAGTTTTGTTTCTCGTAATTTGCTGGCTATCTCAGAGAAATTGATTGGCAGACCTAGCTCCTTCAATTTGCTGCATCAGGCCAATTTTTGTCTTGTTACATACCTGAAACAGAAGACTTCAGGCTTCTACCCAAACATATTAAATTTGTATAGTTAAGGGAGATTATTATTCAAAGTAATTGTGAACTCCAAAACCTTTTTATCTGTTGATCTCAGTGTAAATGATCTTGTTCCATTGTGGTTTTAAAACTTTAGATTTTGTTTGACAATAGTTTTTAGAAACATGAAGAAACGACGCTTGCTCTGATGTTAAAGCAAGTCACAATCAGCCCTTTTCCCTATCGCTTAAATCTGTGAGCACAAATCAAATGATGGAGTTTAAAACTATTTGTGTGGGAAGAACAGGTTTTAGAAAATGTGGGCATGGGGAAGGAATGTGTGCATGTGACTGAGTTTTCAAGGTAGGGATTATGTCATTTATATGAGATCTTCTGACCCTGAAGAAACTGGATTATAAAAGTTGATCCCTGCAGTTGGAAAAGGTCTGCAGTGGCAGAAATGTAACAGCAGTGGATTGCAAGCAGCAGTACTTGGAATGATGGACTGGGCACAGAAACCACTGTCTTTGTCATAAACACGGTTCATAAGGTTTGGGATCCAGGTATCTGAAACATATCTACTGGGAAGAGCCCTGCCATGCCATAGCTATTTTGCTTTCCAAGTCCACAGACCAGCTGTTTTTTATCAGTGAAGTGTTGTTCCATAAAATCTACCAAAACCTGAGTGCAGCACTAGCATGGAAACTAAATTAGGTGGTTGTCCTACCAATGTGGTTTGCTTCTGCTGTGATCAGTATTACTTCGATGCATTATTTTAAACTAAAATTAAAAATCTAATGTCATCAGCCTTGCATTTGCCAAACATAGCTAGAAAAGCTCAAGCCAATATAAAGGATTTTAATTTTCCTTTTGTTTCAAATTTCTTTAAGCTTGTCAGTGGAAAGATAGTCTTTCCTTTCTTGAAAATGCCAACCAAATCTGCATTTAATAGAAAATATTTTGTATAATATGCAGAAGCTATTGAAAATGAAGAGATGTATGGTTATTAAAAAATCTTGATATACTGCATTAGGTTTACTACAAGAGAGATGAAAGTTTATCTTTGGAAGTATAAGTTTTCACTTGTGGTATAAATTTGCTTGTGTGGTGGCAGGGGTATTGAGAGTTTTTGGGCAAGAAACCAAAAAGACTTAAACACACTATATGTCATTAAGTAGCTCATTACTTCAGATCTACTAAAAATGTAGACATTTTCTGGTGAAATACAGTATAGGAATATCCACAGTTGTAATTTTCTCTGTGTAACAGAAAATGCAGGTTTAGCTCTCTTGAGATTTTATAGCAATCTCCATGAATAAGTTTGAAAAAACAGGTTTCCAAATTCAGAATTTTGCATTTATAAGAAACTTGATAGCACAAAGGATAATGTTACATATTGCCTTGGAAAAAAATTGAGGGGATTTCTGAAGTACATAAAACAAAATGAGTAATTCTTAAAATAAGAAATTAGATGAAAAGATGAAAACAAAATAACATTAGTTAAATGGGTTAATGCCACAGAAAATATATGGACTCAGTCAGAGATCAAGATGATCAGACAAAAGCCATTTATTACAAAGCCTTAACCCCTTAAATACTGTTTCTTACATGCACTTACAGTGATTTGGCATATTATGATTGGATACATGTCTTGAAGACCCTTAGTGACTAACATAATTGGTTAAGCACAGGTGTGAGAACTTGACCTTGAAAACTTGCCAACAGTCCACAGTTCTCATTAACTGGGTGAAATCCATCTTCTTCGTATCTTGCTTGTTTAGGCTTCCTTGGGCCTCTCATGGCCTTGCTGTATCTTTCAGAATTATTCAGAATTTATGTACCAATTATCCATTCTCCCATGAGAACACTGTCTCCACATCTCCCCCTTTTTGTTTTATATATGTTTTGGATGACTCTACTTGAGCAGGGGATTTGGGCTAGATCATATCTCCAACATATGCCGACTACAGGCTGCTGGGCCTGCCCCTTTTTTCTCCTGTATGGCTCTCTGGTAACAGGGGAGGCCATCCTTCACATCAAGGTCTGGCATGGCTTGTGTCCCCACCGCTTCACGCCTGCTGGGTTGCAGCCAACAGCGGAGCTAAAGGTTCTTCTTGGTGGCAAACACAGAGGCCAACCCAGTCTTGCCCTTGATTGTGGTAGCAGGCCTTTTGTCAGCCTCAGTCCTTGCACCTTGTTGTCAATGCAGAGTTTCACCTGCTTCATCCAGTAACAAGATGCTACTACAGCAAGGCACACACAAATTTACATTAGCAGAGTAACTATTGCAGGGTGCAGCAGCATGTTGAAGATGCTGATGGCAGCGAGGGACTAGCCAAAGAAATTTCTTACCAGTGGAATTCTCCCACCCTCTTAATTTGTTCCATTACCTGCTTTATAACACTACCATTGTATTAAAATCTTTCTAGCTTTTGCCTTAGCATTTTCTAGCAGCTACTGCAAATTTCCATACTCTAACATCTCTTTTACAAGTGACAAATCTATATAATACAAGGTGTAGTTTCTTATTAGCAGTTGGCTAGTAAATACAGGTGGTTTTATACACAAAATCACAGCCTCTAATAATAGCTACTTTACAAGCACACATATTTAGGATGTTACTTTTCAGTTGCCCCCAATTGATGTTCTGCAGTCATTCATTTTTCTCTTCCTCTATCTCATTCTGCTTGGGGTATTCATGGTCAGCTCCTGTAGCTGAGGCATCAGGTTTTTCCATTCGTCTTGTCCAGCTCATGGCAAGGCTTGACAAACTTTGCAGGCAGTCGCCATGGACCTGTAGTCAGGTGGACACAAATATGCCCCCTCCTCCAGGTTATCACTTCTTGAGAAGTAGACAGGTTAAACTGCACATTGCTGCATCTTTGCCTCTTTTTATTTTTTTTTTAATGATACAAAGTCACTCACCCTACAAACGCTGGCCTGCTCGATAGCAGCTATAAAAGCCTGCCTGCCTGCTTCAGCAGCAACTATAAA